GAGATGATATGTCATAGTTGTTTTGATTTGTATCTCTCTTAGAGCTAGGGATTTTGAACATTTCTTCATGTGCTTGTTGGCCATCTGAATGTCTTCTTCGGTGAAGTGTCTGTTCATATCCTGTGCCCATTTTTCAATTGGATTATTTACCTTTATTTTGTTGTGGTGCAACTGACAATAATCTTACAATTAATTGGGTGAAGGGACATCATGATGGGCAACTCTATCAAGCACCATCTGCACTGTATTATAGGTGAAGAGAGTATTATAGAATTGTACAATGCAAAGACATTGACTGCATCTGGATTTAAAGAAGAATTTAAGTAATAGAAAAACATTAGCAGTTTGGCAGGCAACCTTCTTTTATTATGTAATGACCAGTAGACAGCTGGTCTAGTTCATATATTATTGCTGGCAATCTACAATAAACTGTGGTATTAAAAAAACAAACCACAAACAACCCAAAAATAAAAAAACAAAAAATAAAAATTTAAAAAAAACCCAATTAACTGGGGTATTAGACTATCTAGTTAAAAATGGCAACTGTCTGTACCCAAAGCAAGATAATACCAAACTACTTCAGATTTCCTAGGAATATTTTCATACTTAGAAAAAGAAAACAAATTAAATGGATGCATATCTATAGTAAGCTAGATTTACATCTGTGCCAAACTAGTATAAACTAGGTAGAGGCTCAAGATATAGGTCCATAATGTGTCCATGGAGCAACATGATTTACATGGGTTTGAGTCTGTATTCTGCCTTTTTTAAGCAACTGCAGAAGATACAATTTATGCTAATCAGCCAAGGACTTGGAGGAATTAGGCATCTCCAAGAAACCGTAGAAGATAAAACTCTATGCCAACAGGCCAATGATTTAAGACAACTATGCATGCTGTTTAAAACTCAGCAGTTTGAGATATTCATCAATGGAACCAAGGCAGATCACTTTTCATAGCTGTTACATGTCCTTACAAAATACACTTAAATCATCCACCTTTGCCAAACACAATTAACATATGTTATAAGACATCTTCTGAGATTCTTTTTCAACCTGAGAGTGGCATATTCACAGTAAGCAGTAACAACAGAGTCACTTTATGGCAAAGAACTGAAAGATTACATGAGGTTTCAAGACACCAGAAAAGACATTTAATGGATTAGGTGCTAAATCACTCTTAACAGAAACTGCAGATTCAAATCCCAGTCGGGTCAACTCAGATATTCTTTTTTTTTTTTAATGTGTGTTACCGTCAAATTGGATCTGACTGGTACAGGAGGCGATTGTTCCTCCTTCTTCAGCAGAGCATCTGGTGGATTTGAACTGCACACCTCTGGGATTGCAGTACAGTTTCCTGCCACTAGGCCACCAGAGCTCGCCAACTCAGATATTCTTGTGCACCACTAGATAAGCTAAGCATAGATACCTTAATGTTCTAACAGAAACTTAATAAAACCTTGCAGAGTAAATCAACAGCATGTGATGACTCCACCTAATAGCTCTGTACATAATTATGATCATACACAAAGCTTTGCCATCACTACATTGTGAAGAAACAGAACTATCGCCATCTAGATATTCAAATAATATTAAGATCTTTTGACATACACCACCATAAGCACATGAAGCAGATCCTAACATTTTCTTTTTTTGCCAAGATAAATTTATAAAATAAACCTAAAATTACCCCCAAACCTGTTTCTGTTTAGTTTAAAACACTATCAAATTCTTGGAGATAGCACAGCCCTCTAGCTGTTAATATTTAGAAGTAATGCATTTACAACACTGTCTCCATTGGGCTTATTACTGTTCTAGTCAATGATGTATTGCAGAGCAGGTAACATTTCCAGTAAGTTTTCACTGCCAGTAGTAAACAGCACTGCCTAAACAATCTATACTTACACTGGCATTTAACAGAGGGTCTTCTTCCCTCTTGAGTGGTTGTCCAATACAAGTTCATCTACTGGTTCAAGAGGAAGCACAAAGTCTTTACAATGGCTCAAAATTAATTTTATTTTCAACTTAAGCTTTCTGCAAACGGAGGGTCTAAAGTTGAAAGAATAGCAAGTATATTTCTTGACACAAAAGCCCAAACAAGGTGACTATCACAGGCAGGCACAGAAGAAAGCCATTACACACTATTATTAAGAAACAAAACTTAGGATCTATTCAGAGTATTTTAATATGCTGACAAGCAGAGAGGTGGAAATGGAGCTGATGGCATGCACGTGCATCAGTTATAGCCACAATGTACTGGCTGGCAGCTGGGCCAATCCAGCAGGTAATAAATTAGGTGGAATTAAGGTTTTTAAATGGAGTTCTGGTGGCCTAGAGGTAAGGAGCTATGCTGTCAAGCCAAAGGCATGCAGCTCAAATCCACCAGCTGCTCTGAAGGAGAAAAATGGGCAAACCCCCCCCCCCCCGAAATTTACTGTCTCTGAAAATCTGCCAAAAGGTCAGCTGTGAATTGGTTCTGACTGGATGGTGCATAACAACAATAAGGTTTGCAAAGTTCTGCCTTGTGATAAAATGTGTAGAATTATCAACGTTAAAATTAAAAGTTAGTACCTAGGAAGCATAGCACCCTTCCCTGGAAAACAGAGAGATGTAAAGATTCTAGCGGAGACTTCCTAATATAATGTCTTGTGGTTTTCTGCTGAAAGTCAAGCAATAAAGTTACAGCTCAACTTTTTCCAATAACAGGTAATATACCTATGATGAAATAGGAAGAGGTGATGAATGAATGAATGAATGTAAGAAACTCAGCAACTGAAGTTTAAGTGTTAGGGCTAACTTGTCCTTAAATTTTAGGCAAAATACGAGAGCAAGCTTTGTTCTCAGCATCCAGCCAGGAGCCAGGACATTTTTGGCAGGTCCCATAGTCATTCTCCAGGGAAGCTTGCAATCTCTTAAAAACCCGTTTAACTTTGACAAATTGCACGACACAGTCAGATGGTAAAGTTTCATTGCTGGAACGAATCCATATCCGTTGGATTCTCCTCACATGAAGAGAAAACTATTGCCAGAGAAATTTCTATCTTTTGGGGACCACTCACTCCCATTTAGCACTCCTTTCTCTTCCAAAAAGCACCCTGCAGAGTCAAGACAGTCCAGAATTTCTTCCACTCTCCCTTCGAGGGAGAGGGTTCTGGAATGCCGTTTTTACCAAGTTTTAAGAAACTACTGGACCTGAGACTACGGCCTTTTAAATACACACAGGTCTTTACTGTGAACTCCCCAGCCTCCTCCCTTCAAGAACTTCAGAACCCCACGCTGACTGTCCCAAGAATCCAGTTCAGGCGCGACGGGAGCCAGGCGTCCCGGACAAATCTTTTTTCAGCGGCTGCAGGCACCTGGGAGACTCGCCCAACAAGCTGGGCCTGGGCCTCGCGGTAGCGCCTCATCCCCAACTCCTCCGGGCTGCAGGAGCACCGCAGAACAGCCGGGCCCAGTCGAGGCGTCGGCCTGGACTGCCTCCGGCCCCCAGGCCCGACCCCCTCCCCACCCGGCCCCGCCTCGGCCTCTCGTGCTTCCATCAGCCGGCTGAGCCCGTACCTGCCGGACCCGGTGCAGAGCGTCCACGAAGCCCTCGGCCTTCATTCCCACCGGAGCGCTCTGCCCCTGCACCAGCTCCGCCATTACCGCCCCCGCCGCCGCCGCCGCCACAGCTCGGCTCCCCCGTCCGGTCTCCCGCTCCGCTTGGGGACCCGTAGCCGGAAGGGGAAAACCTCCCGACTTCCGGCGGAAGGGAAGCCAAGACGCTCGACTCGATCAGAGCCGCGTCTACGGGGCCGACCCGAGCACGTGACTGAGAGCCTGTCAGAAGCGAGGGCGGGGCTGAGGGCGTGGGAGGCCGAGCCCGCGGAAAGGTGGCCGAGTCTGTGCGCAAGGTGGCTGTGGGATCAAGGTGGTCAGGACTCGACTCTGGCTGTCTCTGTCACGGTTTGATTCTGGGCTATAGATAATGTTTCAGACTCAGACGTGTTCTAGAGCCTCACAGCTGTGTGACGTGGCTTTCCCATGACAGTATTCATTGCCCTCAAGTCGAAGTCATCTCATAGGTGACATTCAGCAGGTTTTCAGAGGCTGTAAATCTTGTAGGGGAAGATTGTCCATCTCTTTGCCCTGCAGAGCGGCTGGTGGATGTGAATCTCCGCCTTTGGGTCGGCAGCGCAACATCCTACTCACTAATCCTCCCTTTAACACTTCGAAGGTAGTCCTAAAGGAGCTCTGGTGGCTTAGTGGCAAGAAGCTTCACTGCAATCCTGAAGGCACAGGGTTCAAGGCCACCAGCTCCTCTGCGGGAGAAGGAGAAGGATGGGTGATTTCCTCCCGTGTGATTAACTGCCTCTGAAAACCCCTTGGAGGGTCAGCAAGGGGTCGGCTCCCACTTGACCCGTACACGAGAACAGCAACAATGTTGTAAAAATTTGCCCAACATTGTTTGACTTCTTGACTATTGTTTCCATGAGCCTTAATCGTGCATCCAAGTAAAACATTACCATTAGCAGTCTCAATCTTTTCTCCTCTCATTCTGTTGCTTATTGGTTTAGTTGTGAGACTTTTTTTTGTTTTCGTTATACTGAGGTATAATCCTTACGGAAGGTTGTAGTCTAAGCGTCATCAGTAAAAGCTTCCAGTTCTCTTCACTTTCAGCAAGAAAGGTGGTGTCATATGAATATCACAGGCTGTTAATGAGTCTGCCTCTAATCCTGGGACCGCCTCCTTTACATAATGCAGTTTCTTGCACTAAGCCCAGTTTATCTCCCTAGAAGGGTGGAGGGTCAGCGAAGGAGAGGAAGACACTCGACCGGGTGGATTAATGTGGTGACTGCCACAATGGACTCTTGTGTGTCAGAAAGTGTGAGGATGGCACAAGATAGAACAGGGTTCGAATCTTTTGTTTATAGGGTCACTATAAATCGTACTTGGTTCGATGGCACCTAACAGCAACAACATGCATTGAGTGAGAGACTGCACACACCTTTTCTGGTTTTAGACACAGTGTTTGAGTGATTACTTCTTGTTCTGTGTAAAGAATTTACATCAGCACAGTTAAGGGTTCTCAAATTCCCGTTTTTCTCAGTGTTATCCATAATTTCTTATGATCCACATAGTCAAATGCCCCTGAGAGTCAATAAAACATAATCATCTTGATTGAATTCAAAATTAACACCACTCAGGAGATTAGGAAATATATGCTATTGGGAAAGTCTGCTGTCAGGGACCTCTCCAGAGTACTGAAGAGCATGGATATAAGTCTAGAGACTAAGGTGCACCTGATCCAGGCCATGGCCTTCACAATTACTTGCTATGCATCAGACAGCTGGACAATAAGTAAGGATGATAGAAGAAGAGTCTTTAAGTTGTGGTGCTGGAGAATAGTGTTGAATATACCATGGACTGCTAGAAGAACAGGTTCATCCTGGAGCAGATGAGACCAGCCTGAAACCAGGCTGCTCCTTGGACACAAGAATTTTGAAGCTTCTTCTGACATACTTTGGGCCTGTTGTAAGGAGAGACCAGTTCTTGGAGAGGTACATCATGCTTGGAAGGGTGGAGGGACAACCCAAGGGAGGGAGACCCTGGATGAGATTAATTGACTCTGACTAGGATAATGGGGATAAGTGTGTCAGAGACAATAAGGTTGATTCAAGATAGAGCAGGGTTCAGAGCTGTTGTATATAGGGTTGCTTTGAGTCACAAGTGACTCAATAGCACATAACAACAACAACAATAAGGGTAACCAGACACACATACATGGTAAAATGGCCTGTGGGACTCCAAAATGGCTAAGGTTAGACTCTTCTTACCAGAATATCAGATGTTGCACTCGGAAGTCTGTTCAATAGAGACCAAGATTAAAAGGAGGTCTCACTCAAAGTTCTGGGACCTGAGAGAATAATCTACACAGTGTGATCCAGTTTGTTCCTTTATCAGGACCCTTTGGCAGAAAAGGCCATGAGGATACTCTGAGAGGAAGAGGGGTTAGCATAGGTTCCTTCTCCTTGGCCAATGTACTAATGTTCAGGAATAAGTTATCCGGGCCAGAGTTGTCCAGGTACCAGGAACACAGAGATGCTAGGAAGACTAGATCTGGTTGAGGGAATGCTTCATCCTGGGAGTCTGGAGGATCCCCAGATTCAGAAGGTTCTTGGCCTTGTCCAAAGAGGTTTCCAGTTCTCTGAGGACAGAGCTGATGGTAGTTACAGGGTGAAGTCTTCCTCATCCATAAACAGGGTTCTGGGCACAGGGCACATGCACTACGCAGGCAGTGTCCTGGAGCTTCCACGGAGTGTTATTGATGGCTGGGCACATGAGGGCCCAGGCTGTGCTGCACTTTGGGAATATTCAGAGAAGGGCGTGCTGATAGCTCCATAGACCTGCTGGGGCCCAGCCCTACTTCTTTTCTTTCTCCTCCAAATCTTTGTTTTCTTTTCAAGCCATCCCCCCACCCCCATGATGGCTGATAAGAGGAGTAAATGTTCTTCTCACTGTACTAGTTGGTGGTGAGATTGTACAGGGTGGAGTGGCCCAGGTCATGTTTGGAGATGACTACAGAGGGCCCCCTTCCAATTAGGGTTACCATACAGGGATCGGTTAGTGGCTGATCCCTCTTGAGACTGAGGGAGCTCTCTGCTTCACATGCTCCTTGGCATCTTAGACAGGACAGTGCAGCCTCTATCCTGTCCCAGCAAGTTACAAGGCCCTTTAATGTTCCTCCTAAATGCCCAGAGGCTGACCAGTCCATCAGGAAGCTGAGGCCCAAAGGCAGCCAGCTTTTTAGCTCTGGCAGAAAGCAAGCTCAGCTCCAGTAAGTGCTGAAATGAACGCTGTTCCATCAAAAAGTCATCTGTTAAAAGGCTTTCAGCTCTATGGCTCAATAGCTCAGCATGGAAGCCATCTTTTCTTGGCCTCTATTTTTTTTTTATTAATTTAGTTTGTTTATTTTTCATTTCAATGAACATCTACAGAGATTTTGGAATTCCATTCATTCATTGTTGCACCCTTCTCCCCGCACAACCCCCCCCTCCCCCCCGTTTGCTCCTCTCCTTGAAAACCAAAAGAAAAACTCCCTCATTGGTACACAATCCCCCCCGCACCTCCCCAAACCCCACCCCCTACCCCCAAATATAATCCACTCTGCAACCCTCATTGCATACTCCTACGATAAAAATAATGCCCTAAAATATAATACTTTTAGACTATTCTCTCCCCCATAGACTTCAATGCCATTAAACATATTTCATCCAGTTTTTCTCAGTCTTACCCCCACCCCAATGCCAGCCTCATTCTACAACAGTGGCACCATATAGCATTTGTCCCTTTGTGACTGAGGTACCTCACTCAGCATAATGTCCTCCAGGGTCACCCATTTTGAATAATATTGCATGAGTTCCTTGTTTGACCTCTATTTCTGTACAGAGCTCCTACTTCCCTTGCTACTGTTTCTCTGCTGTTGTCTCAAGTTTTAAAACTCATCTCCTTTCCTTGTACACCTTTACCAGATGTATCTTTGACATTTGTAATTCCATAAAAAGTCTCTTTAGTTTTTATTATTTATCTTGAAATTCTTCCAGGCTCTACTCATGATCCATTCCGTAACTAAATTTGGACGTTGTAGGTATCCATTAGGGCAGCATCCATTCTTACAGTCCCAAATGCTGTCTTTGTTATCTAATGCTGTGGTACCACACTCAGATGACTTCAATAAACAGAATTTTATTCTCTTGCAATTTAGCTCAACAACAATTGCAGTTTATTGCCAACAAGTCAGAACCAATTCATAACTGACCCTCCAGTTGGTTTGCAGAGGCTGTAAATCACACAGGAGGAGATTGTTATATTTCTCTAGCAGAGCAGCTGGTAGATTCAAACCATTCGTCTTTGTTTTGGCAGCACAACTCCCAATCCACTGACCTCCAGTTTAGGAGGCTCCAAGTCCAAGTTCACGATACAGAATGTAAAAGAAGATCCTCTCTCTATGTCAGCTGTAGAGAAAAGTCTTTCTTCTAGCATCTGCAGGCCTTGCATTTCTGGGAGCTAGCTCTCCATGTGCTCTGAGCTTCCCTGGTGTCAAGGAATTTCACTGTGCAGGGGCTCAGGCCCAAAAAGTCACACTCCTCTCTCGGAAAATATTTCTTTATATCTTAGTGGTACTAAGTGGTCCCATCCCCTTTCTTATTTTGATATTGTTCCATCGTTTACTATTTTGCCATTCACTCTTTCAACTTGAGGCTTCAGTTTTTATTTGACTCATTCAAGTTGAGAAACACAGTGAGCATGCTTTTCCCTTTAGTTTTTCTTACTCTAAATCTTCGTGTATTTCATTATAATACTTTGCTTTATCTTCTCAAGCTGCCCTTTGAATTCGTCTATGAGGACTAAGTGCATCTGATTCAGGCCATAGTCTTTCCAATTACTTGCTTTGCATCTGAGAGCTGGACAGTGAATAAGGATGACAGAAGAATCATGCCTTTGATCTGTGGGGTAAGAGCACTGAACATCCCATGGATGGCCAGGAGAGCAAACGGATATGTCTTAGAGAGGGTGCAGACCTAGTTCTCTTTGGAGGCAAGAACGATGAGGCTTCACCTCACAAACTTTGGGCTTGTTGCTTGGAGGGGCTATTCCTTGGAGAAGGACATGATGCTAGGAAGGGTGGAAGGTCAGTGAAGAAAAGGAAGACCTTCAATCAGGTGGATTGGCATGGTGACTGC